GTTATTACTGAATGCTTTGATGCAGGTTTAATTGAATATATTCCTCGCATTATTAATAAAAAGTTATCTATTTACATGTATGAAAAACAAACAACAAAAAAATTAATATCAAACGATTTCATTTACTCTTCTGATATAGATAATTAGATGTACAAAAGATTGTCAAATATAATGCATTAGAATGCTTTTGTTCTTAATACTTCTATCAACTTGATCAATATACAATGTTTCTAAGACACAAATTAAATGTGTTCTATGTACTAGAGTGCAAGTAAAAAACCCTGAAATTAAACAATTTAGACACCACATGAAAAATAAAGTAACTGCAACTAAAGGTACTTAGAAAAATACAAAAAAATTACTCTGAATTCAAACTTGTATACTTGTTCATTGAAATGCAGTAAAACACATGTAGTAATTGATTATATATTTATAAGACAAAACAAGCTATGAGATGAGTTGTCTAATCACTATTTAAATGTCTTTTCTCACTTATTGTTTTTTTTTCCTCATTCCTATCACATTGAAGAGACATGGTACCCGTCTCAGTTTGTACTAAAACCACCCCACATGTCAAATTTGATGTCCTTTCCAATTGACAAGTCACATTTGTCCAACATATATACTGTAAACCATGTAATTATTCGCGACATCATTTATTCGTGATTCGTCTATTTAAAATCAATCCGCAACAATTAAATTTCGCGAAATAGGAAACGTTCTCTACAAATACACATGTACATGTACTAAAGGAAAATGAATGGTTCGCGGTAATTACTATTCGCGAGTAAGAATAGGTCGCAGAACTGGCGGATATTTTTTGCACGCAAATGAAAGTTGGTTTACAGTGCATTTATGTAAGATTTATAAGAATGACTATTCATATGTCTTTTCTCACTTTTCGGTTTTTGTCTCATTCATTTGACATTGAAGAGGCATGGCAGCCATCTCAGTATGCTGTTTGATTTACTAAAACCCTCCCACATGTCAAATTTGAAGTGCCTTCCAAATTTACAAGTCATGGTTATCCAACATATACGTTTTTGTAACAATTATAAGTATGAGAAGTATTAGAATTACCTCAAACATATGTGTCAGTTATCCTACACCCTTCCACCGAGTCCCATTTATCTAAGTCCCTCTTTCATATATCATATTTATCCAAAGTCCCTCTTTCGTATGTCATATTTATCCAAAGTCCCTCATTCATATTTCATAACTATCCAAAGTCCCTCATTCATATGTCATAACAATCCAAAGTCCCTCTTTCATATGTCATAATTATCTAAAGTCCCTCTTTCATAAGTCATAATTATCCAAAATCCCTCTTTCATATGTTATATTTATCCAAAGTCCCTCTTTTATATGCCTTATTTATCGAAAGTCCATCTCATCTATGTTACATTTATTCTAAACCATTCACATATAGGTAGCATTTATTCAAAAGTTCCTCTTACATTTATCCATACTCCCTCTTTCATATATATGTCCCATTTATCCAGTCTCCTTTCATATGTCACATTTATACAAAGCCCCCTTTTCAATTGTCCAATTTATCAAAATCAGTTCCAAATATGTAGCATTTATTCAAAGTCTATCAATCTATATCAGATAATTATATCAAGAGTCCCTCTTACGAATGTCACATTTATCCAAAAACACTCCCACATATGAAGAATTTAGCCAAAGTATCTAATACAAATGTCATATTTAATTTCAAATGTCAAATTTATTCAAGATAAATATGTAGCATTTATTCAAAGGTCCTCTTACATAAAGATCTTTGTCCTGCAATCGGAATGTTTAATGGCTGCCTACATGCCTCCTTTTGTTTGATGAGATCTGGAATTAGATATTTTATTTATATGGTAATCCTCAAATCTTCTCATTTATTTTTTAACATTTTCGATGACAAATCGCAATCATCACCTCTAATCGTCCTCCTTGAGCTCCGATATATTGCAATCATCACCTCAAATCGTCCTCCTCGAGCTCCGATATATCGCAATCATCACTCTAATCGTCCTCCTTGAGCTCCGATATATCGCAATCATCACCTCTCATCGTCCTCCTTGAGCTCCTATACAACGCAATCACCACCTCTAATCGCCCTCCTTGAGCTCCGATATATCGCAATCACCACCTCTAATCGTCCTACTTGAAATCCAATTTATTGCAATCATCACCTCTAATCGTCCTCACAACATTCATAAAGTTTATAAAGTGTACGAGGGTTGTCCCAAAAAGTCTTAGACAGGGAGAACAGTTTAGTTTCTTTTTGCCTAATTTAAGTTCTTTCCTTGTCATGGCAAAAAGTAACAAATTATGATCATGCTTTTAAGATTTCATGATGATTTCACATTTAATAAGAAAATTATGATAAAATGGAAAAAAAGTACATCGGCGCACGAAAGCAAACGTAATTTACGTCCCTTATAACGTCATGATCTGTTTTTCTGCTTCACATGCGTCTGTTAACATTCCATATTTCTTTTTAAAGTGAAAGACACCTCTTGACTAAGGGACTTATTTTATTCAAAATCACCTTATTTTCCTTTTTTTTTTTTTTTAAAGCAGATTCAATTTTCATTCGCACTTTAGTAGAAAGATTGCCTTACATTATAGGCAGCAGAGAATACACGTTGTTTGACGTCGTTTGTGCCCCCTGATTGTTCCCTATCGACTTCGTTTAAAGGTACTTGGACACAAATTTGAAGTTAATATTTTCTCATTTTTTCTGTATAATATCACGAATTATATATTTTAATAGCATTTCACACAAAATTTAATGAAAAATCTCATTTCATTTAAAAGTTATTTAAACTTAAAATTTTTTGGCGGGTTTGATTGACACATCCTTGCACTTTCACAAATTTTAACTTTATTCTTAATCCTTAGGAAAAGTGGCAATTTTGATGTGTTTTAATGAGAAATACTATAAACGTTTATCAAGAAAAATAATTTTATTCAGAGTAGAAATGTTAGAAAGCAAAACACCTTCACAGGTTTCGTCATTCCGAACTCAGAGATGCCTGCAGAGTTTAGCAAATCGAGCACACTCGTGTTATGGACACAGTTTTTGTAAACAGGGCTCGAGTTCTGTTATTGTTTATATTTAGAATTCACCGGGTGCGTTCAATCGTCACAGTCTGCTTACCACAACTGCACGGACTGACAGTATATTGTGTGTTTGTTTTGCTTTCGAACGTGTCTACTCTGAATTTTCTGGATTATAGTATTAATATTTTTCATTCATACAAAACGAGATTGCCACTTTTCTCAAGGATTAAGACTAAAATTAAATTTGTGAGAGTGCAAGGATATATCTATGATATCAAACCCGCCGAAATATTTGAAATTTAAATATCTTTTAAACGAAATAAGATTTTTAATGAAATGCTATTAAAATATATTAGTCGTAATATTATAATAGAGAAAATAATAACTTCAAATCTGTGTCCAAGTACCTTTAACAATCAGTACTCTACTTCTTACATGCTATAACTATTTTGGGCATAGAGAAAAAATTCTCATTTAATCTCGACATTTTGAAAATAGCTTTTTATGAAAATCTTGTCAGTAATGTCTATTCTGTACTTTTTTCATGTCTCTGATGTATATAAACCATATCCAAAATGAATTTATTATTACATTTCCGTGCGCCAGTTACGTGTTTGCGACGTCATTTCATCCAACTCAATTCCAACAACAGTTTGAAAATTGTGACACCAATCGTCTGTTTCTAATGCTATTTATATGAAATTTTTACATATTATTAAGATTTTGATTCTGGGTTCACTGATTTAAAATTGAGTTTAATGTTTAAAGTAGTCCTAATGACATAAAAGCAATGTAATAGTTATATAATAAAATTATTCTGAGTTTTGTTCGTACGCCGACACACCTAATCAGTCTTCATATTAATCGTTCTTATTTTAATAATTTGAAAGATATATATATATGTAAGAAATCACAATTTAAAAGAACACTGAACAATTAATTTCTATGCAAAATTTGATTAGTATTGGTTACTTGTTTAAATCAAAAGCCTGAAAGGCTTCAATGGCGTCGAACAAGAAAAACAATTTCAAAAGATCTGCAGATAGGTCAAGTGAGTGACTCCGGTATCATAATAATAAAATTTAAAAAAAAATAGTCTTAACACAAATACAGTATAGGGCCTGATAGCCTTGTGTCCTGGTCCGAATGAGTCAGGGTTTGAATTGACCAGACATCGTCAGAAATATCTATCATCTATATCAATCTAATTTCTTTTCAGTCAATCGAAGACATATGAAGGGTTTCATAAATTATTTTAATTAATTGCCATTGTCAGAGTGTTGTTCTGTTGTATAGTGATTGCATCTTAACTACAACCATGACTCTAATGTTACAAGTACGATTGACTTACGACAGGGCGCGGTAAACAAATGTAGGAAATGGATAAATACAGTAATACTGGCATTACTGGTCAATATCGTCGGTTGTTCGGATAAAATTGGATTGTAGATCGTAAAAGTAAAGCTAAGATTAAGAAATTCAATCTTTATAGTCTTATTGTATTCGTGTTTATTTTGTTATTATTTTTCCGTATTTAAGATTGTTTGTATTACATTAATCGGTCCCAAAATGTGATTCATGTCATTCGACGCACCCTCTCTGTAGAAATTCATCCGCAACAACCATAACGTTTTTCTTGCGTAAAAATTAAACATAATATCGTTGTTTTGTAATAGTATTAATTGAAGATGCAATTGATTTAACTTTATATTCAAGCAATTATTCATTGTGAACGTTTTAAAAGAAATAGGTTTACAACTGTTGCTATTTTCTATTTCAGATGCATCCACTGACACGTGCGGTCGCGTAAACCTGACCGATCGCTAGATGACGATCGGGCAAGCCCGACGCCATAAAAATTATAAACATTGTCTACCACTTTTTGGGACAACCCTCGTATGTGTCCTCAAATAAGAATGTAAGTAACCTGATTGTTTGAATGCCTTTTTAAATCCATCACATTATAAAGTTCTCATATGTATGTGTTCTCATGTGTTTCTTTAAATCCGCTTGTTCACAGAACATTTTCTTACACAAACCACATATGTAAGGTTTGTCACCACTATGTTTCTTACAATGTCTTTTAAAGTTTTTTGAACAATTGAATGACTTTCCACACACATCACATTTATAAGGTTTATCACCTGTTTTTATCCTCATGTGAGCATGTAAGATAGTTTTCTGAGTGAATGTCTTTCCACACACATCACATTTATAAGGTTTATCACCTGTATGTATCCTCATGTGCCTCTGTAAGGTACTTGACTGAGTGAATGCTTTCCCACACACATCACATTTATAGGGTTGATCACCTGTATGTGTCCTCATGTGATCCTGTAGGTGATGTGACAGTTTAAATGCATTCCCACACACATCACATTTATAAGGTTTATCACCTGTATGTATCCTCATGTGCCTCTGTAAGGTACTTGACTGAGTGAATGCTTTCCCACAAACATCACATTTATAAGGTTTATCACCTGTATGTGTGCTTACGTGTCTCTTTAAAATCCGTGACTGGCTGAATGCCTTTCCACAAACATCACATTTATAAAGTTTTTCAAATGTATGTGTGCTCATGTGACTCTTTAAAATCAGCAACTGGCTGAATGCCTTTCCACAAACATCACATTTATAAGGTCTATCACCTGTGTGTATTCTCATGTGATACTTTAAGTGATGTGACAGTTTGAATGCCTTCCCACACACATCACAGTTATAAGGTCTATCACCTGTATGTGTTCTCATGTGTCTCTGTATGTCATATGGGTGTTTGAAAGCCTTTCCACACACATCACATTTATAAGATTTTTCATCTGTAGGTATACTCATGTGTCTCCGTAATTCATGTAGATGATTAATTGTTTTCATACAGATGTTATATTCACTGATCCCTTTACTTGCACAAGCACTTATGGATTGTTCGAAATTCCCAAATTTATTTTCATTTACACTATAGTTTAATTTCACAGGATGTCTTTCTGATCTGGATGCAAAATCTGCCATTTCTTTCTGAAAATGTGGCAGACAAATCAATTGTAATGCTATATAAGATATTTATACAGAAGATATCAATAAGCCCAGGGGCCGCATGGGTTACCTGAATAACTATGGTCATGCTTGGTTCTTTTTTTTTTTTTTACCAGATGTCCCCTTTGTTGTGGCCCTACCCTACCCCGGATTTGAACAGATTAGAATCTTTCTCTAAGTGAATGCTATTTCAATGTATGTGTCTAGATATCAAGATATCATGGGGCCACATCGTTTACCTCAGTAACTATGGCCATGCCGGGTTTTTTAACCAGAGATTTCCCTTAGTTATTCTTCTTGTGGCCCATTGCTATATGTGCCCACGGGGTCGTGATTTAAACAGTTAAGAAACAACACTACCGCTGAAGGGTTGCTTCCACGTAAGTTTTTGCTTTTTGGCCCAGTGGGAAAATCATTAAAGACTCCTTTCTATTCACTAAACCCAATTAACGTGTTCACCTCAATGTTGCGTAAATTTCACGTATCTCGTCAAAATTTCTAGCAAAGTGTCAAGAAAATGATGTACCCTCAAATTGAAAATTAACACAAATTAATCTTTAGGAATAAGACCACAGCTTGCTCTAATTTCTGCAAGAAATCCTTTACTGTTGGATATATAATGTATCCCTGATAAGTGATTGACCCATCTGCTGTCATGCCTTCTGCTTATAGATCTCTCCAAACCGTCGAAATTGTGTGGAAAGGGGAGGGGGGCTTTTACATTTCTTATAAAAATCTCAAACATATTCAATGGGATTCAGATCCGGGGATTGACAAAGCATCATCATACAGACGCCTTTTGGTCAAAATCCTTGGGGGATAAGAACTTAACTGCTACACTTCATGGTAGGATTCTTCTCATACCAGGTATTTCTTGTATTTAAAAATTAATGAAATACTCATAGAATCAAGAAGACAATATCACAAAGTGATAGCATCAGTGAGGTTAAGTTTTACTCTTTTATATAAAAGCCAAGATTGGGTCAAGGTCATTACCTTTTCTCTGGACATTTCAAATAAAAACAAAAGGCCCACGGGCCTTATAGGTCACCTGAGTATTGTGCAACAATACACTTTCAAACGATTAAATTTGGTTTGTGTTATAAATCCGAGGCCATGAAATTCGCAATTCATAATTTTGAAAGAGGTACCATTGCTTTGGTTGAATAATACCAAAGAGCAGATTTCAAAGCATTAATTTATTTTCAGACTTTGTACCCCCTCCCCCCTCACCCCAAACCCAGGGAGGGGGGGGGGGCATAAATAATAACGATTTTGCTAGCTGCAACTTTCTTCATCATAAATATATATACTTGGATCATTGGCATAAAACCAAGGAGCAAAGGAAAGATTATCAGAGAATTAGTGTATTTTCACTATATAACCAATAGAAACCTGTCCTAACATCAAAACCCATGACCCTGGGCCATAAAATTCACAATTTTGGAAGAGACACTCTTGCTCATCATAACTGTGTACTTAGTTTATTTAATACCCAGGAGCAGAGAAGAAGATTTTAAAAGAATTAATGCATTTTCACTATATGATCAATAGAGCTTCACCCTAACACCAGAACCCCTGACCCTGGGGCAATAAAATTCAAAATTTTGAAAGAGGCACTCTTGATCAACATAACTATGTGCTTGGTTTGTATATTTAATACCCAGGAGCAGAGTAGAAGATTTTCAAAGAATTTGTGCATTTTCACTATATAACCAATAGAGCCCTGTCCTAACACCAGAACCCATGACCGTGGGCCATAAAATTCACAATTTTGGAAGAGGCACTCTTGCTTATCATAACTATATACTAAGTTTATTTAATACCCAGGAGCAGAAAAGAAGATTTTAAAAGAATTTATGCATTTTCACTATATGATCAATAGAGCCCCGCCCTAACACCAAAACCCATGAACCTGGGGCCATAAAATTCACAATTTTGAAAGAGGCACTCTTGATCAACATAACCATGTGCTTGGTTAGTATATTTTATACCCAGGAGCAGAGAAGAAGATATAACCAATAGAAACCTGTCCTAACATCAAAACCCATGACCGTGGGCCATAAAATTCACAATTTTGGAAGAGGCACTCTTGCTCATCATAATTGTGTACTTAGTTTATTTAATACCCAGGAGCAGAGAAGAAGATTTTAAAGGATTAATGCATTTTCACTATATGATCAATAGAGCTTCACCCTAACACCAGATCCCCTGACCCTGGGGCAATAAAATTCAAAATTTTGAAAGAGACACTCTTGATCAACATAACTATGTGCTTGGTTTGTATATTTAATACCCAGGAGCAGAGTAGAAGATTTTCAAAGAATTTGTGCATTTTCACTATATAACCAATAGAGCCCTGTCCTAAAACCAGAACCCATGACCGTGGGCCATAAAATTCACAATTTTGGAAGAGGCACTCTTGCTTATCATAACTATACACTAAGTTTATTTAATACCCAGGAGCAGAAAAGAAGATTTTAAAAGAATTTATGCATTTTCACTATATGATCAATAGAGCCCCGCCCTAACACCAAAACCCATGAACCTGGGGCCATAAAATTCACAATTTTGAAAGAGGCACTCTTGATCAACATAACCATGTGCTTGGTTAGTATATTTTATACCCAGGAGCAGAGAAGAAGATTTTCAAAGAATTCATGCATTTTCACTATATTATCTATAAGGCCCCACCCTAACACTAGAACCCTTGAACCTGGGGCCACAAAATTCACAATTTTGGAAGAGGCACTCTTGCTCACCATAACTATATTCTTAGTTAGTTTATTTAATACCCAGAAGTAGAGAAGAAGATTTTCAAAGAATAAATGCATTTACACTATATGATCAATAGAGCCCCGCCCTAACACCAGAACCCCTGACCCTGGGGTCATGAAATTCACAATTTCGGAAGAGGCACTCTTGTTCATCATAACTATGTACTTAGTTTATTTAATACCCTGAAGTAATGAAGAAGATTTTCAAAGAATTCATGCATTTTCACTATATAATCAATAGAGCCCCGCCCTAACACCAGAATCCCTAACCCTGGGGTCATAAATTCACAATTTTGGAATAGGCACTCTTGCTCAGCATAACTATGTCCTTGGTTAGTTTATTTAATACCCAGGAGCAGAGAAGATTTTCAAAGAAATCATGCATTTTCACTATATAATCCATATAGCCCCACCCTAGCACTAGAACCCCTGACCCTGGGGCCATGAATTTCACAATTTTGGTAGAGGACTCAATGCTGATTACAATCTTGCAAACAGTTTGCCTGCTTGATGTCCCGGAGTAAAGAAGAAGATTTTTAAAGATTGCATTAATTTTAAAGGTTTTGGACCCACCCCTCAGGCCCCAGGGGGGGGGGGGGGTGGGGACCATTAAATTCACAATTTTTTTCCCTTCACCCATAGATGCTGTATACCAAATCTGGTTTAAATTCGTTAAGTGGTTTCAGAGAAGAAGTTGAAAATGTTCAAATGTTAACACATGACGAATGACAACGGACAAAACGGATAGCAAAAGGTCACCTGAGTTACTCAGGTAACCTTAAAACGCTGTTGTCAATTATGCCACCCCTACTTCATTTTCAAAAGATTGAACGTTTTTCTTTTTGTATGATGATTATTGCTACAGGACATTGTTACCAAAATCTTGACTTACCTTTACTGTTATTACTACAGGACATTGATACCATAATCTTGACTTACCTTTACTGTTATTACTACAGGACATTTTCACCAAAATCTTGACTTACCTTTACTGTTATTACTTTAGGACATTGTCACCAAAATCTTGACTTACCTTTACTGTTATTACTACATTACTACAGTACATTGTCACCAAAATCTTGACTTACCTTTACTGTTATTACTACAGGACATTGTCACCAAAATCTTGACTTACCTTCACTATTATTACTACAGTACATTGTCACCAAAATGTTTACTTACCTTTACTGTTATTACTACAGGACATTGTCACCAAAATCTTGACTTACTTTTACTGTTATTACTACAGGACATTGTCACCAAAATCTTGACTTACTTTTACTGTTATTACTACAGGACATTGTCACCAAAATCTTGACTTACCTTTACTGTTATTACTACAGGACATTGTCACCAAAATCTTGACTTACCTTTACTGTTATTACTACAGTACATTGTCACCAAAATCGTGACTAACCTTTACTGTTATTACTACAGGACATTGTCACCAAAATCTTGACTTACCTTTACTGTTACTTTGTGTTGATGACCTTCTACCTCAGGGTCAGAGATGTCAAAGGTCAACTCCTCTTCTACAATCAAAAAAAATTTGTCAAGATGACAGAAGAAGTACAACAGATGAATAAAGAGAGTAATTTAGGCCACTCAGATAAATATATCATATATTAATATTTAAATATTTATGCAGAAAAGAGACATGAGAATTCTCTTTTGGAATTTTCATTCATACAATTGGGAAAAACACTTACTTTTAATTATTTGGAACTGGGCAAATTACAGCCCCTTCCCCTCTCAACCTTTTGACAACCTAAAAACCCCAGAGTTCTTTTTTTTCTTTGGAAATCTTGAATTTCCTTTTCTCAAGGATACTTTTTGCAAACTTGGTACTTTAGAAGAAGATGAAAATATGAAAAGTTTATGACAAAAACAACAACCACTACAGCATCTACAGAGAACAGACAAATTTTGATCAGGAAAACTCTGAACCTGAGCCTTCCTCTGTGTAATGAAACCACGCCCTCTAGTGTAGCAATAGTCAACATTGCTTGACGAATGGTGATATCCCAAACAAATGTTGAGTGCACAAAACTTATATGTGCAAGGTTTACTGTTGTATGTATTTGTTTAGAACTTTCAAAATAATACAATAAATATTGCATATTGTTGAGTGTTACATTGAAAATTGTCACCCCATGAACATGATGAAGACCCTTGTTGAACACCTCGGTTGACAATGGTATTCTTGGGATGAAAATGTTCAATGTAACCCTCAACTAAATACAATATTTATATATTATTTACTAAGAACTTTTACCAATAGATTCTTCTTTCTGGTCAGATTCTGGATCTCTGGCGCTGGATATAGATGTCTCCACCTCAAACTCTGACATGGTCTGTTTATTCAGTTATTGATCTCAAAGTCCTGTAGAAGAATAAAGGAATAATTCACATTCTTTTCAGGGGTAGTCAACTAAATGCAATATGTATATATTATTTACAATTAGAATGTTTGTATTTATATGTATGTATATATACCAGTAGATTCTTTTCCCTCATCAGATCCCGGATCTCTGGTGCTGGATATAGATGTCTCCACCTCAAACTCTGACATGGTCTGTTTATTCAACTATTGCTCTCAAAGTTCTGTAAAAGAATGATTTTTTAAAGAAATAATTAACTTAAATAAATCATGAAAGCGAGGGGACATTAAATCTCGTTCATCTGTTCATCAGTCTCTCACAAAAACTTTAACCTTGCCCATAACTTTTGATGAAGTGGAGCTTTGACTAAATCACTTTCATATTTCCCATGTGTATTCCTTGTGACAAGACCTTTCTTTGGGTACCACCAAATTTTACCTTTTCTTCTTGGAGTTTCATGCAAAATACTTTCTGACCAAAATCTCAGGCGGAACGAGCTCATAAGAAAATGGCCTTCGGATGTAAGAGTCCGAGGTATATAAGGAGCGTAAGGACATTAACCGAGGCTCTTACTTGTAGGAGTAGCACAATACCCTGCAGCTGATAAAGCTATATGTAATGAAAATTCATGAAAGTCAAGGTCTGAGTTTTTGTCAGTGTGTCCACTCGTGCATGAAAAGGACTCTGGTATAAAAAAGAAAGCATAAAATAACATCTACTCACACAACACATTTTATACTGATTTCTTTGAGTGCTTTACATGCATGGGCGAGTTTAACGACAACAACTCAGAACTCGACTTTCAGTATTTAAAATTAAAAATCAACATATTCAACACGCAGCACAGTTAAGGTTACAGTAAGGAGGCGGGGCCTAATTTGTACGGGAAATGTTTACTATGATGTCACACATAATATAAGGTCTTCAAAATACCACAAAACTAGAAAACTGACCAGTCAGCAAGGGCCCCGCCATGGGATAGAATTATAAGGGTGCAGCTTGCGGAATTATTCAAAACAATTCAGAACAACTCTATATGTTCCTTCAATGAATGCAAATATCATGAAGGCTTGACCTTAACTTCAAAACAAACAGCAAATGCAGAAAAAGGTTTTCATTAATCTTAAAGTGACAGCTAAAGATAAGCCTTCCAAATTTTCTGCAGCAGGCTAATCTGGCTAGATAATTAATCCCAAGGGATTAATTGTACTTCTCTCTCATTATTTTCATTTAAATTTACAAGAAGAACTTTTTCATTAATGATAGAATGAGGTTTTTATCAAGGTACCTTAAAAATTGATAATAATATTCCTGAAATTACATAAAGCAAATATTTTTAGAATTCAATGAAATCAGAACTCATTGTGTAAGATATTTTAACAAAAATAAAGTATAAACATTTATACTTAACTCCATGTTTCAGAGTTTTCATAGCATTCCAAATTGACTACAAATTTCATTTGCAAACAGAGGTGGTAATTCATCTCAATGTGACAGATAAAGATAATGCTTTGAATTTTCTTCAGGAGGAAAGCTAATTAATCCCAATGGACTCATTGCAGTATTCAATTTACAATGGGAACATCTTCAGCAGTTATCTCTCTTTGCCAATTCATTCTTATATAAAGTTAAGGAATCTACCCCACAACCCCAGCTCCAAACCAGAGGACATAGAAAAATAAAGTGCCGCGCCACAGCATGATACGCCCGTCAAAAAAATTACAATTTTCTTGAACAGTTTAGGTGCAAGAAAATCACATCAAACTTGCCCGTGATTCTAAGATTTCGATGATTTTTCCATTCCTTAAAATATTTATCCATCCCCTGTGATGTAGGCATCAATTATAATAAATATTACATAAGTGATAGATTCTGTGCTGGTTGTGTTAGACCTTGTCAAATGCCCATCATCAAATTAGTCTTAACAACTTAATCTATACCAAATTAATTTTGAAAAAAAAGGCTGGCCATCAAATGACATATGTTATAAACTGACCAGCAGTTCTTCTGTCTAATCGCAAAAGGGTACAGATAAGAGACAGCTAGCCTTCCTACATTGAACTCATTAATTAATCTTTAACTGGATGCTTGTCTACTCATTACTACCAAGAGATGAATGGGTCTGCACTATCTACTATAAATTTTGTTTAAAAACATATAAAATACTCAAAGATTTTTTTTTTTTTTTTGTTGAGATTTAATTTCCAACAGGTTTTAATATGTAATTCATATGGACATGCTGATTCCACCCCACCCCATAAAATTAGTTTTTAAATAAATAATATTACATAATATCAGATTAGTCTACAATGCAATATCAAATTAGTTTTAATTACTTTTCATCAAATTAAGCTAGTCAACAAAAGCTATAGCCTATTTTTAATCAAACAGGCTTACCCATTTGCCCAATACTCAAGGGACAGATAACACCAATGCTCTGGCAGTTAGCTCCTAGCACTCAAAACCCATTAATTTCTCTCTAATTTGACATGCAATTTTCTGTTATCAAAATTTTTCTTGACCAGTGCTTGATAATTACACTCAAGGGAGAGGTAGGATTTCTGTAACATACATTATATTTGTTATAGATAAATGCTGTCAAGTATATGCTTTAATAAAATAAGTATTTTCTTGATTTAACACTTTTTTAATAAGGACAGTGCAATACTCTTACATTATTTGGGATGTGTAAATAAATAGTAAAAAGACATATTTTTTTTTTTAATTTCACTTAAATTAAAGGTCACAGTGACCTTGAAATAGGTCGTGACACACCTTCTACCTAAGACGCATAAACTGGCCAAGTTTGATGATTGTAAGTCTTATGGTTTTCTTGTTATGGGCCGGAAAGGATTTTTCCATATTTGGCTATAACTTCTTAATTAAAGGTCAGAGCGACCTACTTTTTGTGCGCGACACACCTTCTACCCAAGATGCATCAGATGACAAAGTTTGATATTCCTAGGCCTAGTAGTATTAAAGTTATGAGCCGGAAACGAAAAAGCTAACAGACAGACGGACAGACGGACGGACGGACAGACGGACGGACACGAAGCCTATAACATAATACGTCCCGTCTTAAGACGGGCGTATAACAAACTTAGCATCAAAATATGTCTTTCTGCCTACTGAACTACCATACCAAATTTGAACTTAATTGATCAACCATAAAAAAAGTTATTAGGAAAAAACAGAAAATTTGTGGACGGAAGAATGACAGACGGACAGACGGACAGACAGAGTGATTACTATAGGGCACCCGCAAATCCTTGCGGGGCCCTAATGAAATTATTTGCTATTTCAAACAGCTGGATAGCTGTATACTACATACAAACTTACTATTAGTAATACAGTAGTAGTACACAGTGAGCATGGTGAGAGGCTGATCAAGTCACATTTTGTACAATGAAAAATATCTTTTGTTCTCAAATAAAATATTATTTGCAGTAGAATAAAAAGCCGTTGACTTGGATGCGATGTCTATTTTAGTATTTTATTTATAAACTGTAACTGCATTCTCCAGACAAGCGATACTGTCGTGTGTTTGTATGCAGATTCATTGAAAAAGTAATGGAAGGGCCCAAATAAATCGATTTATTGCAAGGGCATACCCTCAATGTATCTTGTCAAAATTTTACATGTAAACTCAAGAAGCATTAAGATATTTGAAAAGTGTTGCGAACCTCTTGAAATCTTTCAAATCAATTAATTATAGCTTTATTTCATTTAGTTGACCAGCAAAATATTCAACCTGCCGTCCAACAAATTAAATTTTACCAATTAAAAAAGGGAATCTATATGGGTTCGCAGCACTTTTAACAAACTACATATAGTGTTGAAAAGGATTATAAAATAAACTAAGATTTTTAACTTGGTTATGCCCTTGCAATATTGAAATTTATAGATGACCTTTAAACTGCAAGTATAATTGCCAAAGTCATGTTACGTCGACATCACATGACTTTTCTAAATAAAAAATCTAAATGTCCCCAACATGTAGATTTAAACCACATTACATTTTTTTTTATATCAGTGAATCCCTTAAAAGAATTGCCCATCCTAATTGCTAATACAGTATGTATTTTTTATTTTAAAAAATCGTCGATATTTCCATTTGTAACCTTAACTGTGCTGCGCATAACTTGTATTCATATCCACGTTTCATGTGATATGGAATGCATAAAGCATACATATAAACTTACAAAGAATTTTTTTTTTAATTTCCTTATATTGATCAAGGTATTTGTAATACCTTAATAAAACTATACAGCTCTATCAAGCTATATACCTTTATCAGGGTGTTGTGCTGTACCTGCCCATTGTGGCATTGTTTGGAAGGATGAGCCCGGAAATTAGGCATTCATTGCACCTATAGACGCTTTCCAGTACTTTCAGTACTTTGATTTTGGTTTTCTCATGCTTTCTCGACAACTGAAAGCAGTCTTTGCCAAATTTTTTTTTCAGCACATGCCCTTCGGGCAGGTGTGATAACAAATTACGCAAGCCCGAACAAATATTTACATGCCCAGAATTTTATCAAGTTATTTTATTCTAATTTGCCTTTTCATGCCAAGGAAATAATCTGAAAATCCATTTTGTCAATTTCTTGTCTCGCCATTTGTTTTCAACCTGTACACTTTTTGTGTCTCTTTTGTAGCATTTCGACTGACCGCTAGGGGGAGGAAACGAACGACAACTCAATCATCAGTGTTAGTGGTCTTTTTCTGTGTTGAGTGTGTCCGTGCATTTGCAGATACACACACTTCGTGTTTCGCATGACAGACCTTTATCTGGTATGTGACATTGTCTTTACCAGTAAAAATAATTTTCTATAGGTATTTGGTGAAATTATTCTGTAATAGTTTTACTGTATATGTAATTAGATTAAATGTAAATATATTTTAAAAATACATGTCTAACATGTACGACACAAGAAAATAATTTTTTTCACATGTTCTTCTGCTTGCTCGAAGTTGCTCGCCGACTGAAAATTAGAAGGAATGTTTACAAAGGTCATGTGAAAATTACACGTTCTATAAATGTGAAAATTTTTGTAAATCTTTTTTTAACCTACTGACATGGTATTCTGTTGTTAATTTTTTTCTTCATCGGGATTGGGATCAGAGGCATTGTTGGTATTTTCATGATTTGTATAGAATAAAGTGCTGACAGTTCAGAATTCCTATAAATATAAAGAAATTTTTGCAATTTGAAATGTATTCCTTAATTGTTTTTATTTTAAAATCATTCAAACCTTATATCCAGTTATATATATTTTGCTTAATTTCAATCGCGCTCGAAATACTTTTCGTAGTTATCTTCCCTTATAGGTCACAGACGTTGTTAGTGTTTGGGTATTTTTTGGAATCAATATTTACTTTATTCTGTATAATTTCATAACAAAGAATGTTTATTCCTTTAATCTAATGCACTTAACTGCTCAGAAATCAAAAATTGAATGTTGAATTCTATATTTTAATTTTTAGGTGGAATTGCTATCTTTTGCAGAAGAGTTCCTTGGAAATCGCGGTAAACAGGTCCAGTCCAAAGACTATTTCTACCTACGTAGGTATTAATAGCTACGTAGGTATTTAAAGCTACCCAAAGTAGCTATTTTTACCTACTTTCTGCTTTACTTGCATTTTGTGGCCAAATGCATGAACGGCGCAACATGGTGAGCACACAATTTCTTGATACAGTCACACTGATGATGAATATGACAAAAATTTTGCCAAAAAATGAAAACTCCGTATTTTATCAATTTTGCATATAAACTAATGTAAAATTGCCGATTCAGGAAGTAATCATTTTTTCGCCAAAATTTTGTTGTATTCATCATTAGTGTGACCGTATCAAAAAATATGGTATTCACCATGTTGCGCCGTTTGGTCTTTTGGTCGCAAAATGCAGAAATTATATAAAGTAGGTAAAAATAGCTACTTTTGGTAGCTTTAAATACCTAGGTAGCTATTAATAGCTACGTAGGTAAAAATAGTCTTTGGACTGGACCTGGTAAAATAAGATGTCGGTAAAATTTTATTTTTTTTACTTCACTTAGATGGAAAATCAAAGACTTTAAAGTACATTTTATGTTATTGGTCTTTTTTAATTTAATTATACCGAGGCTTATGCCTTAGAATTAACATGCCCTTCGGGCTTGTAAGTGTACAATTTCCACATGCCCGCTTCCAATTTTTCCAGGTCCTGGGCATCGGACTCCCGGGATTTGTCTAAGACTGCAGAACGGAAGTTAGCTTTTCTTGTAATCGCAAACAGTCTAAACGAAAATCAGGCTAACTAATTTAAAATCACCTTACCGTGCTAGAGCTGAAACCAGGTCCTGGAAATATCACACAGTGACACCAAACTCCACATGCATTGACTGGCCTCCGACTTTTTCCAAATTTTTTGTGTAAATAAAACGTAATCTCGATCCCGATCCTAATGATCAAAGTGAAACAAAAGGGATTCCTTCAAAGAATGAGTCA